CTGCCTCACCTCCACAAGCTTGCCCTGCCCATGTCTCAGAAGGGTGACTTTAGCAGGGCCTCTTGGAAGCTGTGGAACAAGAATGACAGAGATCTGGAGAATACTGTGTCCGAGGATAGCAGATTCAAGGTCTGGGCCCGGCCTGAGCAAACATTCTGGAAATTACCCTCTTCTGGTCACCTGGCGGACATGTGGAGGGAGGGCGGTTCAGTAGGGCATCTGACTGGCCAGCCTGGGAAGACCTTGACTGCAAGGTAAGCCCGAGTAACCTCTGATCAGCTGTCCCCTTCTCCACAGAGCATGCCTGTTCCCTTGCGCAGAGGAGTCCAGCCTGGTGGTACTCTGCCCAAACCCACAGGGGCTCACCCGCTAGGGTTCAGTGTGGTGGCCCTGCAGGCAAGCATGGGCAACTGCCAGGTGAGACCCACGCCTGCCCTCAGCAAGTGAGCCGGCTCATGGCAGAGCTTCTGGGGTCAGATTTCTTGGCTTTGTGACCTGTCCGCTGGGAACACAGGCCCTTCCTTTCATAGCTCAGAAGCTGGGAGACTTTAGAAAAATGAATTGACCGTCTGAACCTCATCTGTAGAATGGCGTAGCAATTGTCCATTGCCCATACTGGGCCGACAGGAAGCAGAGCGTGGGGGTCACCTAAGCTGGTGCTCCCCAACGGTGGTCAGGGCTGACCACCTGGCTTGGACACTGATTGGGAATGCCAAGTCTCAGATCCCACCATGGACCCACCAACTCAGCTGCTCTGGGGAAGGGCCCAGCAACCTGTTTTAAAGCCCTCCAAGGGCTGACACTGACTGACTTTGCTTGGCACTTTTAAAGGCATGCACTACCCACCACCACTACCACCCCACCCCGGCTAATGCTCATGTTCTTAAGCAAGAAAGTGACAGAGGTGTTTTGTTTCTAAGGAGAATCAACACTCTAGCATGAATCCCCACCACACTGTTGTCATCCCCGAGAGAAGGTCCCCATGACAGACAGGTCAACGGCCAGAGGGCCCCTGCTGCCCATCAGCTGCAGTTTGCAGAGGGTGAAGATTTCAATGACCAGGATCACAAAGGAGGCCTGCGATGCACATATGGCCTGGGCCTGGCAGCCTGGTCCTCCCTACTTGTGTGTAATATTAACATAATGTCCCTTGCAAAAGTGATTACAGACCCACAGGCAGCAGAATGTCATTCGGTAGCTGCATCCTGCTTCCACCAGCAACGATGACTAAACAAGCTAATTAAATCAGTACAAATTTGCACACCAGCCCGGCAGCTGGACCCAGAGTACCATGGCTGCAGCATAATCCTGCCGTGGGGGGGGGGCTGACTAATGGGCTGTGGGGGGCAGCTCACCCCAGGGCACTGCCTGTATAGAGGGCAAGTCTGTCTAGAGAAGGTTGCGTGTACCCTTGGGAAGCCGTTGCCTGTGCCCCTGCGAGGGATAAAGGTAACAGGGAGCAGAGCCTGCACGTCAGCCTCAAGAGTCTTCCTGTGGAGTTAGCAGAAGGGTCACCAGGCGCCCCCCCCCCCCCCCCGTAGTTCCTGGAGAAGGTAACTTGGAGGCCACCTTCAGCAAAGAGTCAGTTCTCTCAGGCGCTATCGTCCCGTGAGCTCTCTTGGTTCAACGTCCTTGTTGATAAATGAAGGTAGTGTCTAGTTTTCACTCTTGATGCTGTGGGGTGAAGTGACAGGTGGCACAGCCAGTGTTCTGTAAACGAGTCGTCATTACTGCTATTCTTGCTCGTGAAATGTCACCATGGACCTTCTGTGGACCAGGACCAGGGATGCAAGGCCCGGGATGTCCCTATCTTTGCCCTCAAGGAACACATAATAAAATGGGGTGACCGATGAGTCATTTGTCCCGTGATAGGTCCTGTGAGAGAGGAACAGAATGAGGACCCAGGATCCAGTCCTAGAGGGGTTGTGCTGCAGGTGAGTTTTGAAGAGCACATTGTACTCCCACAGTGGTCCAGTCCTGAAGCTGGGGTTCCCTAGATTCCTGCTGCCCAGGATAGAAGCTGGCAAATCTTGGCCCCAAAGTATGGTAGCAGTGAGGTTCCGCAAGGCAGGGGAGGGGCAGTCTCCAGGATAGAGAGCATCTCCCTGCCAGGGGGACTTCCTAAGCCCCCCTACAGCTGTGTCAGAGAGGAGGGCCACCAACCAGCTCACAACATCCCAGAATAGCCTTGTCCTAGGCAGTGTTGTCACAGCGGCAGCATCCTATAGTGTTAATGACCTAATAATATCTGTCATTTAAATCCCTCACTGGGGGAAAAATGTAAAGTATCCGTCATGGAAAGCCAGCACCTTTGGCCATTGACAGGAATGTGTAGATGAAATGAAACTCCACCAGGTCACATGCTGCTGGCCAGGAGATGTCACTTCCTGCAGACTCGGGGTAGCGGGGATAGGGTGGGGGACAGGGAAGCCAGAAAATTGGCAGGTGTTGGAGGAGACGTTCATCTTCACCCTGTCCCTGGGGAGGTTTACTTCTGTACAGCCACATGGGGAACTGAGGAGGGATGCAGCCCTCCCTGGTCACTCCTGCAGCCATTGGTAAGGGGGTGTGCACTGCCTCTGTTCTTGTACCCCACAGGTAATCACCCACCCCCTGGCCCCATGAACTACAGGCCATGGTAACCTCGGCAGCCATGCTCTTTCCAGTACCCTGAATTACCTCTTTACATGGTAGAATGGACCCAGTGTGATTGCCGGGTCACTGCACAGGCCCCGGGAAGTGCTCTGCCCAGCCCCAGTGCCCCTCCATAGGCAGAGCTGTGGAGAAGGGCTGGCACAGTCTGATGAAGCCCTGTATCTCCTGGCCATGTGACCATCTGAAGGAAGTCACATGAGCTGTGAGCCCCGGTGCCCCTCATCAGACTCTCTCCCATGCTATGAGAATTAAACAGAAACCGATTCCCCGTGTGTGCCGATTCTTGCTGCTTTCATAGAATTCACTCCACAAATGGTCAGACCCTTGTATTTATCCATTTAATTTTTATCTTATAATCAACCTTCACACAGAATGTAAGGATTGAAATTAAGCTTGGGGGTGGAGGGGTGCTGCTGAAATAATGCTGAAGGAGTTTAAGAGCTCTGTTTTCCAATGCTCCCCACCTTGGCCTCACCTGAGGCTAGAGAATCTCCATGAATCAAGGAGGGCACAGGGGTTGGACTGAGGGGGAAGCCAGGCCCTGGAATGTCCTGGGCCGTTTTCCATTGCTGTAACAAAATACCCAAGGCCAGGTACTTGATAAGGAAACGATATTTATTTAGCTCACAAGCCCCAGGTGCATGACACCAGCTCTGGCATGTCACCTCCTGGCTGATGGCACCGCAGAGTTCACATAGCAAGACAGGAAGCCTGAGAGCAGGAAGGGGCTGGTCTTAACTTTTCCATTCAACCTCCTGTGGAGAACTAACCAAGGTCCCATGGGATCGAGGCCATGACAGCAAGCACGTCCACCAATCTCCTACCAGGTCCCACCTCTTACTGCTCCCATTACCTACCCTCCTGGGTACCAACCTCCATCACATAAGTCTTGGGGGATACATCCAAACCCCCAGAAGAGATGGTGGTCCATCCACCTCCTGCCCCTTCCCAGCCCAGCTAAACTCACTAGGCCCTGGAGGGGGTTGCAGAGACCCCAGCTCCCACCCTGTCACACACATACCATTGACTGAGGCCCATGTCACAACCTCAACAGACAGAAAAGACAGAACACAGACAGATAGATACTTGTGAGCACCCGGCAGAGCCTCAGCCCTGGTGCTCGGGAGGACAGGAGATGCCAACAGGGAACCCGGGAACCACAGCTACCCATGCTCCAGCCTGGTGCAAACGAGCTGCCTCTCTGTGCCTCGGTTTCCTCCCCTGTGAAATAAAGACAATGCAGTGAGCCATGCAGCGAACTGACTCCCAGAGTCTGCTCAGCCCAAGTCCACGGCTGGAGGTGTGTGGTCTCTTAGGGCTCCTGGCTGTCTTTCTGACCGTCATAGAAACGCAGAAAGGTGACCGTGGTTCTGGAATCGGGTCTTTTGTGTTCTGGTGAGAAAGAAGGCTGCACAACTCTCCATACCCACAGGAGACCGGCTCCAGGATCCTCACAAATACCCCAATCTCAAGTGTCTGAGCCCTTTCTATAAAGTGACACAGTGGGCTCATGGGCCTTGCACAGCCTCCTGTGTACCCTGACCTTCTCTTGTAGGTTTATAGTCTCTGACACAGTGTTACTGCTGCATAGGTGACAGACAGCTCTGCTGTGTGTGTGCTTTGGGGGACAGTGACAAGAAAACAATATGCACCTCCACTATGGGGACTTTGTTCAAGTACTTTCTGTTTACAGTTGGTTAAATCCAGAGCCGCAGACCCCACAGGAATAAAGGGTGACTGAGCAGCATGTGACCTGGCTTAGCAGTTCTTAACCTCCGCTGCACATTCCAGTCAGTCTGGGGAGGAAAATCCCACAGGAAGGCATGCCCCAAGCCAGCTGCCTCAGACTCCCTGGAGGTGACAGATAGGTGAAAACCTGCGGCTGAAATCCAAAGAACAGGCTTAAGGCCAGACAAGGGGCTGAAATCCAGCCTCTACGACCATCAACATGGCCTTGGACAAGTCACCCACCCACCGAAGTCTTGGATTCCATTGCCCAAAGCAGCAGTAATTCTACACCCTTCCAGTGAGGACACAGAAATTCAAAGAACTGGAAGAAGCAGCGTCTGTGGACAAGCTGGTATTTCCAATACAACACTTAGCCAAGGCAGATCCACTCATTATCCACTCGGGATCCCAGTATTTTCTTATGCAGTTATTTCTGTGCATTTGCTTGGTGTTTGTTAAGCCTCACCTTGCCATAGGAAAATTGTAAGAGTGCCAGGCACAGCTGCTTCACAAATATCATGAAGTTATTCAAAGCAGGCCTCGCCTGCAAACCCGGATGCTTTCCTGGCTTGGTCCTCACTGTTTCCAGCCGGAATATTATTTTTGCCAGCACAGAAGGAACACCCCTTGCCTTTGCAGGTTGGGAATCTCAGAGGGAGCAGGAGCAACTGGAGCAGGAAAGGAGACCTTGTGAGTGCCTTACTCCTGGCTTGTAAGCAGGAAGTGCATGTGGGAACACAGGATCCCTCTGCTTTGTTTTGCATCCCTAGGCTTCTCAATCCTATCAGCTGGTGAGACAGGATTCTCAGAGGCTCCCACCAGTCTAAACCTACCAGCCTTGGTGACACAGCACAGCCTGTGTGGGTTAGGAGCAGCTGGTGCTATAAGCTGCAAGAAGGACCCTCTCGTACATACCCTTCCGCCACAGCCCTCTCCTGATACCTCCCTAAAGCACTGTTTATCATAGTCAGGAAGAATAGCGAGGTCACCTCTACAGAGCATCCTGGGACAAGAGAAGCAGGGAAGAGATGGAATGCCCAGCCCCAGTGGCCTGGCTGCTGAAGTTTTCAAAATACCAGATCCAGAAGGGGCAAGAGGGTGTAGTTTGGGGACTGTTCCGTTGTAGGTAGACTTAAATGGTGAAAGGTTTGGGATGTGAAGTTCAAGAGAGATCCTGAAACAGATTACGGGGGAGTAAGGTGTTTATCCGAAGCATTTTAAACTCCATGGACAGACAGAAAAGCAACATGGTGGGCCTCTGACAGAAGATCAGAATTCCCTGCTGTGTAGCAGCTTCCTGCTTAGACTGGGTTGCTGGGAACTGAAGTTGTTTATTCTTAGTATCCACTTCTGACTTTACTACATGCCAATTTGAGCCTACAAGAGATGGGCCTGAACAGTCACACACTAAAATCTTTAAATGTGTCTTTTTTGCCCGCAGACATGTCTCCACAGTACACATTGTGTGGAGTCTGCACCAGTCAGCCAGTGGAGAGCACAGACTGACGGCAGTGTGTGCGATACAGTGGATGACAGGAAGCTACAGCCACACCAGCGAGGCTGACTGTGCGATGGCCACTTTGCTCAGTGCTTCGTGTGCAGGAGGACCAGGCAGAATGGTCCAAAGTCTCCGTCTCTACGTCTGCTTTGCCATTCTCAAGTGACAAACCCTCACAGTCTAGCAAAATGTCACTCACTTGAGAGTCTGAGGGTTCAAAGAGGGCACGTGTATAAAGTGCAGGACATTGGTTTTGATACATAAGAATCCTAATACCAGCAAATATACTTAATTGGTATGCACAGGTCTCTGCCATCTAGAGAGGCCCTGAGTCTGCCCCACGCAGGACCGAGACTTCTGTGCCCGCTCCTGCTCCATCCAGTTTCCCCCATTTTCTTTTTCCTCTCCTCTCTTTTGTTACTAAGGTTCCAGGGGTGGAACCCAGGGCCCTGTGTAGACTATCGTTTAGTTACTGCCAGCCTGGACATTCTCTTCGTAATATCCGACCCTAGCTTTCACCCTCTGCTCCAGGTCAAAACTCAAATTTGAGACACAAAACTCCCCAAGCCTTATCAGTGCCACCATCGGAATCCGAGGGGATCCAACTTCTCACCAAGCCATGACTACCAGTCCCTCCACCCGTGGCTCCGGCCTCCATCCTCATCCATGGACACGCATTGGCAAGCAGGTGTCCGTGCACATGTGAATGTAAGATGCAGAGGCAGTGGTTTGCATCAAGAAGTGGTTCCTTTGACGGTTCTCCCCCTCCCCCTCTGCTAAACCTAGAGCTCCCTGATTTGTCTAGGCTGGCTCGCCAATGAGCTCCTGGAAGACACTTGTCTGCCCCACCCGCAGAGGTGTTACAGACTTACAGATGTGTCCTGCTGCTTTACCTGACTAGGCGGGGGCTGGGGATCTGAACTCACGTCCTTTTATTCTGCACAGCAGGCTGTTTACCAACAGAGCCATCTCCTCAAGCTCAGAATCCTCTCTGGCCTTCCACATCACTCTGAAAATACCATCTACACTTTCAACCAAGCATACAGTTCCGCGTGACCTAGGTAGGGTTATGGGCTGAATTGTGTCCCTGAACAAACTCATATGTTGAAGCCCTAATCCCCAGGGTGACTGTATTTGGAGGAACGCCCTTAAAGGAAGTAGCTATGGTTAGATGAGGTTGTGGGGGATGTGTCACTAATCTGATGGGAGTCAAGGCTTTATCAGAAAAGACACCATCGTGCTCTCTCTCTTTCTTTTTATATAAAAGCTCCTTGAGGAGGTCAACGACCAAATAGTTGCTGCTTCCTGAATCTCACACACCAGCCGTTCCCTTCACTGCACAATGGACAATGCAACGTATCTGTTGAGTGGCTGAGCAATCAGTAGGCATTAGTTACGCTTTTTGACGCAGGTAGACATGTATGCACATGAGCATACATGCGGCATGAATGCATATTTGGGAAGAACTGTAGTTTGGGTGTTGAGTGTCCCACAGAGGCTCACGTGTTACAGCCCTGGTCCCCAGGCTGGTACTGTTGAGAGGAATGTCAACTTTGAGAGGTGGGGTGACCTTGTGTCATCAGGGGTATGAGTGACCTTGAACGCCGTTGTGGGATCTCCATGCTGTTCTCTTCTTGTTTTTTGTTTCTCAGCAACAAGGTTGAATGGTTCGCCTTTACCACATGCTTCTGACCCAAAAGCAATGGAACCACTGGATCATGGATCCCAGTCTGGCTCCAAATGCAAGCCAAAATAAACCTTTTCTCTTTATAAGTTGATTGTCTAGAGTATTTTATTATAATACTAGAACACTTCCTGATATACACACGCAAATATATTCATCTCTATATACCTATGTCCTCATCTATATCAGCATCTTCATCTGTTTGTTCCTGGCTCTGTCTGCCTGAGGAACCCTGGTAGAAAAGCAGTGTCGTATTTGAAGACACACACCCAAGGTCATTCAACTCCTAGCTTTGTCAGAGTCCAGATTCCTAATTGTGCCAGGTTGCCTCGATGGTTACTTTTAATTGTCAACTCAACACAATCTAGACTCAGCAGGGAAATAGCCCTTTGGCATGTCTAGGGGACATCTTGATTACATTAATTGAGAAAGAAAGACCTGCCCACTGTGGGCAGCGACTTTCCCTAGGAAGGGGGATTCTGAACTGTATGCAAGTGAAGAGAGCGAGCTAATTAATCACTAGCGTTTATTTCCTCTCTGCTCTTGACTGTGGGTGTGGCCAGCTGCTTCAAGTTCCTGCCACCTTGACTTTTCAATGATGGATTATATCCTGGAATTGTAAGCTAAAGAGACCTTTTCTCCCTTAAGATGCTTTTGTGGGGTATTTTATCAAAGCAACAGGAGAAGAAACCAGACAACTGCCGCTTGGAATTTCAGGTATTAACCATAGAGGAGAGTCCAAGAATTTTAGAGGGAGTCGGATCTTCAAGATTGTCTTACCCAGAATCCACAAAAATGGTGCCACCACCACTCTTCTGGCTCTTTGGACAGACATCATTAACAGATCACAGAATGTCCTCCCACTGAATTTCCAAGTCCTTCTTAGTTTTTCACAAAGTCTCAGCTACTTAAATGAAGTGACCTGTCATCCCAGAGAAGAATCGGTCTAATCAGTTTTGCACTGATAGTCTAAAACCAAGAGGAATGTTTGTTTTGTTTTGTTTTTCTCAAATTATAAAGCGTGCCACCAGGACTGGACACCCAGCTTGTGTTCAGATACAGAGGAAAACTCGGCCATCACTCTGGATATTAAATCGGATCAGAAGTTAATAGCTTTTGACCTTTCGTTACTTCTGACTATTTTGAGAGACTGTGATCTTTTAAGCCAAAATCTATGAAATGAGGGACAGGAATTAGATGAATACCAGCTGCCAGCAAGGTGCCAAATAGAGCCAACTGTAGTTGGGAGACCAAGAGGCAATCCCTGCCTTTGGGACCAAGAGACAATTATGAAAAACAGAAATGGAGTGAATAGCCTGGGTGGTGGGCAGTGGGGGTGGGTGGGTGGCAGCAATGCTCCAAAGCCCATAAGTACTGAAGGAACGGCGCCACTCCAAGAGCCACTCCCACTTTTATATCTGCAAACAGAACCCCAATAACCTCAGGTGAGGCAACCCCATCCCTAGCTCAGTACTGAATCGAATCCTGATTCAAACATGTAATCTCCTCACAGAGAATGAGAAAAGGCATGTGACCTGATCTGACTAGCTAGTCCTCCTGTGGAACTCTGGGTAATTCACTCACTTGCAAAAGGAAAGGCATCCAAAAGCCATTGTTCTCACTTGCAATCAGAAGCATTCAAACTGGCGTGAAAGGTGCCTTCCTCCTCCCACCCAGAGATGGAAGTGAGCTAGAGAAAGCTCCAGCATTTTCCAACTCATAGATGTCACTCTGACCCTTTCAGTGGTGAGGTAAAAGAACCAGACCCTCAGGCAAAGGCCTCTACTCTATCTCAGCCCAAATGTATTCCTGGTATCTGAGCCCCAACTCTGGCAAGGCATTGTTTTCTTTCATGTGAATGTGTTCCTTTAGTTTAAAAAAAGAAAAAAAGCAAAACAAAACAAAATGAATCTATCTGTTCTTCCAAGAACGTGGCAGTGTGTTATTATGGGAGAACAGATGTTAAGATGTTAAGAATAGATAGCTAGTATAGGAATGTAACTCAGAACAACTGGGAGAAGGGGAGAAGGGGGGTGCTAAGAGCAATCTCACTATAATGCAGGACTGCAAGGCCAGAGGGGCAGGGAAGGGATGTGGATGGAAACACCCAGGGCCTCCATGCTGTCTCTGTGGGGTTGATAGGACCATCCTCCAACTCAAGTCCATTAACACTAAGGGCAGATCCATTTTGCCGGGATAGCTGGACAGAGTGGCTGCCATGTCTACTCAGGGTAGGAGGGGGAAGACCTCTCTTCAGACCGCAGGACTGGTCACTTCCTCGCCTTGTAAACAGAGTTCTGCAAGGGGTGCTTTGGAACCCTCAGAGGCAACTGGGCAAACCTGTTCCTGGAGTGGCAGGAAGGAGGACAGGAGGGCCTGGCAGGGGAGCAGAGGCTGTTACTACCCTGCCCTGTTCCACTGGGCATGGTTTAGAGTAAACCTCTTTCGGCAAAGCCAGCTCAGCCTACCCATACTTCACCGGGGCAAAGACGCCATTGCTGACAGCTGGGAAGTGAAGAAAGAGCCAGTTCACTTGGCACCGTTTGAATGGCATGGGCCATTGCCATAAGAAAGTCTGGGCTCCCAAGGCGTGGGGCTCCAAGAGCTACCTATGCCTAGGTATTGGTGCATTCTACACATCACCAGCTCTGTGCTTTGGAACATGATGAAGCCTGGTTCCCACGAACCAAGAAGGACCCAGCTGACCTGTGTTACTCTGCAAAATTTTACATCTTAGACCACATGGCAATTGACTGGCTTGTCCATGTCTAGCAACACAGTACTGCATCAGGCAGGAGCCAGGCACCAGGCCCCTGCTCCCTGCTTCCTCTGCCTCGTCAGCACGTTGTGACACAATGTGAAAAGCAGAATGCCAGGGAGACAGCACACCAGGAACAGCTCTCCATCCTTTATAGATCCCCCTTGATCCTCATACGCTCTCCATGGGCTGGGCATAGCTCAGTTTTACAGAAAACAGAGAGCTTTAACCAGCTTCGTGCCCTAACACCCATGATGACCACTCCATCAGCCAGAACAAGGGCTGGGGTGGGAGGAATGTGAACCTTCTCCCTCTGAGAACAGAAGGCAGACCTCACTGGTCACGTGGCCACTGGGTGCCAAGGAAGACTGAGAAGTGGAAACTATGGGCATGTGCTGTGCAGCTGACTAAATCACAACTTGCCTGGGGTGAAGTCTCACTCAAACTGCTGCGATGATTTGAACCATTCAAGACACACCATGCCAAGACTTGTGCTGGCACAGCCAACCCTCAAGACTCAGTTTACCTTCACTGAGAAGATGCTCCTACTTCTCCATGTAACTAGGTTCAACAGCCCTCCCTATATGGAGCTCCTGGGATTTCTTCTATTTCAGCTTTTCCTCTGCATTATTATGGGATGTATCCCTAGTCCCCCCCCCCACACTTACAAGTATAGTTTATTTGGCCCACACAGTATTTAAAAAAGAAAAGAGGCACAAACTTCCAACCGTGGGCTGAGGAGATAGCCCAGTCTGCAGTGTATCTGCTTTGCAAACGTGAAGGGTGGATCCCTGGAATCCACACTAGAAAGGGGGCCAGGCATGATGATGTCGGGTTCCAGCACTGGGAAGGCAGAGACAGAAAGGTTGTTGGGGCTCTCTCTGGCAGGCTTGGTTGAAAGAGCAATCTCCAGGCTAGCAAGAGACCCTGTCTCAAAGCAAGCAAACAAACAAACACAAGCAAACCAAACAAACCAACAAGGTGCATGGCAGCCAGCGAGGTGGCTCTGGGTAAATACCCTTGCTATTCAAGCCCGAGATACTGAATTTGATCCCAGAACCCATGTAAAGGTGGAAGGAGAGAATCGACTCCACAAAAGTGCCCTCAGACCTCCACACACATGCTATGGCATGCATACCCATACATGCACACAGAGAGTAATAATACATTTAAAGAAATTTAAAAGTGAATGGTACCTGAGGAATGACACCCAGAATTGACCTCTTGCCGGGCAGTGGTGGTGCATGCCTTTAATCCCAGCACTCAAGAGTCAGAGGCAGGCAGCTCTCTGTGAGTTCGAGGCCAGCCTGGTCTACAGAGTAAGTTCCAGGACATCCAGGGCTCCACAGAGAAACCCTGTCTTGAAAAACAAAAACAAAACAAAACAGAGTTGACCTCCAGCCTCCATGTACACTCACACACTTGTGTACCCATACTCCTCTTGTGTACCTTCACACACACACACACACACACACACACACACACACACACACACACACACACACACAGGGTGTGTGTGTGCTGTACTTATGAACCTAAGGTAAAGAAACCCCAGAGTCACTCTGGCATAGTGACAGCCAGCTGAGGCTGAGCAGTGCCTTAATCCCTGGACAGCCTGGTCACTCCATTCCCATGGTGTCTGCCACCCCCTAGAATCTCACACCCTACATACTTCATATTTCTTTTGCCTGCCCAGTCCCAGAAAAGAACCCCTCAACCAGGCTTCCTTGAGGGCAGGGTGGGCCTCACCCGGGTGCACTTGACACACACAGTGAGTGTGCAGAAGCATTGGGTGTGTGAGCTGTAGCTGCCATGGCAGGAAAGGAAGCAAGGATTCTAAAGAGGCGCTTGCATCCTCCATTTGGATACCAGGCCATTGAAAACAACGCTCCCTAAGAAACTGGAGTTTCCCCAGGAGTCTCAGTCTGGAGGAAGGTAGAGGTTGATGCTCAGTGCTGGCCAGAGGGGGAACTTGTCACCAGAGAAAGAGTTCGCTCAGTTCCGACAAGTGCCAGAGCATTTCTCAAGAGCAGAGATGAGAAATGATGGGCCATGATAGATGGGAGCCTGCATGTTCAGGATTTCATACTTCTTGTACCCTATTCAGTCCTCAACTTCTTGTTGGGACCCCAAAGGTGGACTTGGTAGGGGGAGTCACTGTTCCTCTTCTATGTGGTCACTCTTTTACTGTTACCTACCTGTTTAGCCTTGGGCCTATTGAGGACAGATGGCTGAACCAGCATGGTAGGCTGCCAGGGCCCAGGCTCTGACCCTAACAACTCAGGTAACAACGGGACTTTTAGGCT